AGCGACAATATCAGCATGGATACTTTGGATAGCCGAGGGAGGAAGGCCAACAACTCAACTGCTGAGAGGGACGACATTGACGACATTTGAAGTAAAAGAATGCGTAGGAGTTTGTGAGTAGAGGCTTCAAATCGAGCCCGATATGATTAGCGAATAGGATATAATGTCTATAAAAAGTCCCAACAACAAAAGTTCCATGTACACCAATGCCATGATGGACATATCCTCGACACCAAATTTGTATGTAGATTATAGGGGTATCTAGAATGCCTCCAAATCCGCTGGAGTACCAAACCAATTGCCCAACTCCGATGATTCCTTACTCTTGTCTCCTGCGACAAAGAAATCAGTGACTCTGCTGGTCTCGCCATCATCGTCTAGTGGCCACTCGACTTTAACACCATTGCCCTTGCCCTCGAGCATGTCCTTCGCTGTGCCCCAACTGAATCGACACTCAGGACCCCATCCAAAAACAGGGTGCATGTTATTTTTCATCCAGCTCACACAGTTTCCATCTGATGGATAACCTGAGCCCCAAGCCATTCCCTCACCACCCTTTTCCTCTTCATCTGCCCTTGCTTCGAACAGTACTTCGAGCGCAGCATCACGAGTGACCTTTGCGCACACCGAGGCAGCACTGACGCAGGGGTATAGACTATCGGCCTTTTTGGCGACAATAATCTTTACTGTGGGGAATACACGCTGAAGCTTGGCCTGGTAGGTCGCGGGCTGGCCGATGGTATCGACATAAATCTCTTGCACGTTGACACCTGCGGCATACACAGCCTTAATGAGCTCGATCGTGGCGTCCATGGCCTGGGCATTGAGGTTGTACGTATTGGGACGATACATGTTTGCGCCAATGTCCCTTGCTGATAACGAGGCCGTAGCCCAACCACAAGACTCGTAGAGATCTGAGCCAGGTGTACATAGGGTGCGCATAAGGTCTGAGCGTACGGCAGGTTTTAGGACCTTGGAGTCGTCAAAGTGATGTGTTTCGCGGAGAAGAGAATCGGAGAGGGAGATGGGGAGGAAGAAGACGCCGTAGACCATGGGACCGAGAACGGGGCCACGGCCGGCTTCGTCAACGCCGAGACAGCATGGTGTTGCGGAGGATGGATCTGAAGGGTCGGCCGGTTGAAGCGAGGGAGGGATCGCTGAAATATGTGTGAATGATGAGCCCGCGAGGAGGGCAGCGTCGTGGACTGAGGGTGGGATGTATGTTCCTGAGGATGAACGGGCTGTCGCGGGGACGACTTCGACCGGTGAGTCTGTCATGGTGTGATTGAGAATCGATATTATGTAGAATTGTTATTTGTTTGCTGCATATGAGGTCTGAATGGTGGAGAATGGAACAATTGACGGTTATGGTATTAGTGGTTGTCCTGGAAGTCAAAGTAAAGAAATTGGTTGGTGTTGAAGATGGGAGTTGTCCTTAGGAGACGCGTCTAGACGCGTTAAGCACTTTGGGTCCACTTTAGATCTATCTAGGTCAGCTTCAGTGTAAGCCACGACCTACTCTATTAAAACATGATGGTACAGCTGGCAACCTGAATGCATCACATTGTCTAAAAGAAAACTGTTAATTCATTCATCAACTCAGTTGCTATACTGTTCAAGCCGCTTGACGGTTGAAAAGGCAAAAGCCACTTATATAACGCCACGTCAAAGCAACCTGGTAGTAGTTACATGTAGTGAACCGAAAGCATCGGCCCATACCAAGGCAGATACTCTCACGGAAGCCCGAACAAAGAAGTAAAGATCCGTTTTGATTCGACTCCCTCAAATCCCGAGTTCATTTTTAGCAATCAAGTATACGTAAAGAATATCGTCAAACCCATACCAAAGTGTCTGTTGGTTACCACTTTTGTTGAATGATACCTCAACCCACTGTGCCAGTCCAGCTCTTTTACTGGGCCAAATCAATTGCGACCCTCTAAACACGCCCCAAGCTGCAGCCCACTTCACCTAATTACTCACGGCCGGGACAGCTAAAAGTCACCAAACGACAACAACACACACCACCCGCGTCACCAATCGCGTCCAGTCCCAATTTTTGATTTTGTAGCTGTATAGCTCACGACTGAAATTCTTTGACATCGAGGACTGGTCTAAATCACGGGAACAAGTTATACATATCCTAGCCTTTACATACGATTCGCTTGAGCGAACCAAAAATACATAATAATGGCCCCTCGTGGCGGCGCAGGACGCAGCGAAGTTGCTGAACCGCAAGGTTACTTCGCTCTCGGTGTTCGTGGTCGGTAAGTCTGTTTGCGCATATCGGATCGCGAGATCCCCTCGATGCGACTCAACAAACAAGTTCTAATTTATCTGTAGAAAAACTGGCGCACAGTTGAAAGACACGGGCAATCGCGACGAACATGGCATGCAACCTTTGGACGACCTCTCCTCGTCACCAGAAAGAGAACCAGCATCTCCACCAAGGTCCGACGACGATAATGAAGATAACAACCATGACGAAACCGGGGAGAACGAAGATGACGACCAAGGTAGTGAAGACATGGATATTGAAACAAGTCCGCACATCGAGGTTTACTGCAACAGAATACATTGACTAACACCACTCTAGGCTTTGGACCGGGTCCTCAGACTGTACTTAGGAAAAGCATGATCCCTCTACCTCGAAGTCGTTCACCAATAAAGACTGGAATATTGTCTTCTCCTCGACGAAACCCGAATCTAGAACACCTCTCTTCGCCAAGCCGATCGCCCGCTCGGTCGCCCGCACCAAAAGATCGCGACAATACCGTGACCAGGAAAATCGATTTTGGAGCAAAGCCCACAGGACGCGGGAAGTCTGCAACAAACGGGACCAATGGCACACTTCACGAGGAGGAGGAGGAGGAGATAGAAGACGTGCCTGGGGGCAATGATGAGATGGAGGACGACGTGGAACTACTCAACGAATCGATTCAACTGGTAGATGACATGGGCGGACATTCGTCAGAGCAGGGTTCTGAGCCAGAGTCTGAAGCCGAACCCGAGCCTGTGCCTGTGCCTGTGCCAAAGGCCGCGAAAGCATCAGCCAAATCCAACCAAGAAAAAGCGAACGTAGATCCCAAAAAGACAGGGCGCCGCGGAAGACCGCCAAAGGCAAAAGCAGTCGAGCAAGAACCTGTTGAGGAGGAACCCGTCGAGGAGAAATCCACTGAGGAAGAGCCAGAAGAGCCCCAAGAAACCGCGAAACTAGCCAAAGGCCGACCCGGAAGGAAACCCAAGAATGATGTTCAACCGAAGACATCCAATGCACCCCCATCACGGAAACGGCCAGCGCTGGAGGAGGCCGAGGAGACTGAAGAGCAGGAAAACGAAGAGTCAGAGCAAGAGCAAGGACAAGCAGAACCACCGAGACAGGTTAAGAAGCAACGAACAGAGGCTCCTAAGCCATCAAAACCGGCCAAGCCAGCACCATCAAAAGCTACGTCGACAGCAGAGACAAAAAAGCCGAGAGGGAGACCTGGACGAAAGCCAAAGGCGCCGGCGATCGCGGATGCTGGGGACGACGTTGGGGAGACATCATTCGCAGCGCTTCAGCGTGGGCCCCCTTTACCCAAAAAGCGTGGCCTCGTCTCTGTTCGCCACGACGCAGACGAGGTACATACTACAAGATCTGGAAGACACTCGTTCAAGCCACTCAGCTGGTGGGCAGGCGACAAGGTGGTTCAGGAAGAGGAGGAGTTCAAGGACGTTTCTGGTCGTGATCGCTTTGTGCTTTCAACTATCAAAGAGGTCATCCGTGCTCCTGTAGAGGAAGTGCGTGCCAAGCCGTCAAAGCCAAGAGGGCGCCCTGGCAAAGCCAAGTCAAAAGCAACGAGACAGGTTGAAGCTGTTGAGCCCGAAGACTGGGAGCTTGATCCTGGTACTGTCAACGGTGAGGTTATCCTATGGGACCCCGAACACGAGAAGAACCCTCCCGGTGACGAAGAGCCAGTGGAAGTGATGGACGATCGAATCGCCATATCAGGCCAGGCGATTCAAACCCGCGACGTTCAAGGTGTATCTTTCCGTATGGCCAAGACGCTCACAACGCCCTTTATGGGCGCAGGTGTCGTCGATCTACCGGCTGGGTCAGAGAAGCGGCCCAAGAACTCGCGCAAGATGCACATGGTATTCTTTGTACATACTGGAAAGGTACTTGTCACAGTGAACGAGGCCTCGTTCCGCCTCAGCGCTGGAGGCATGTGGTTTGTTCCCAGAGGTATGTTCCCCGTGTCTTTTCTATTCTTTTGTTTTGTTAACGATGAATAGGAAACTACTATAGCATAACAAACGACTACGATACAGACTCGCGAATCTTCTTCACCCAGGGATGTGAGGCAGCGACACAGTCTACAGAACCAGATCAGTCACAGATGTCCATGATGGCTTGAAAGTGACAACGCCCATGATACTTTTGGAAGTATATATACGATTGCGCAACTCGTTCCAATTTGTAGCGCAAACCAAGACTACTCTTGTTGAGGCAGTTTTGAGAGGGCATCTCTTTGTGAAAGACATGGAAACCGCTTGGTTCATTGTGTCAGAATTTCTCTTCGGGAGAGTGTTTTGTTGGCCGGTTTTATGATTCATGTGCGGTTAGGGAATGGCGCGTTGTATTTGTTGTATACCATTCATGAGATGAAATTTCAATGCAGAACTGTTGCAATTGCAGAGAGTGTTCTTTGATTCGCCTACAAATCACCCAAGTTATCAGCGTTCTCAGAAATGTTGAAGGATGGTAACGTGACAGTAATGCACTCAATGCTCTAGAGGTCAACAGGAAATAGGACCCAAACTTTAGGATGCTAAAGGTAAATTATACAAGGCCTGGTCGAAACTAGATAAATGGTATAAAATATCCATCCCTTCTCATAGGAACTCCCACGTTTTACTCCGCGGTTAGCGGGGTTGATCTTCACAAGGAGTCTTTGCTCTTAAGGTTTGCCTAAGACAACAGGAAATGGGGCCTAAACTTTAGGATGCCAAAGGTAAATTACCTAAAACTCTTCGCTAAGAACCTTCTTTAGGGCAGTCATCTCCTTATCCCACTTGGCGATCTTAGCTTGGCTATCTTCAAGCTTGCGAAGCAAAAAGGTGATGCGCCCAGCGGTCTCTCCTGGCTGTCGAGGCATAGTGCCCAGCAATGCTAGCTCGTTTTCGACCTTCTCAATCGAACGAGCCTCCGCTTTGGATGAGTCGTTCAGGGTATCATAATCCATCTTCGCGCGGAGCACGCGGTCATGGAGGAGAACAGAGAACGCGGCTTGGTGCAGCGGCTTGCCGGCTGTGATAGTCATTGGGCGGCCCTGGTACGTTTTGACTGCAATAAGTTCGGCACTGACGAGGTTATCGATAGCAGCATCGGCATTAGAGCCAGCAGGAGCGGCAGAGGAGAATGGCGCGGAGAGTACGACTTCGTTGTAACGCAGCTTCGGGTTTTTCGCAAGAGATTTAACAAGATGCCAGGCCTGTTGAGGAGAGAACTTCTTGCCCTCAATATCGGACGGCTTGCCAAGAAGGTAGATTCGCACGATGTCGGTGGCTGTCTCGGATACAATCTCCTCCATAGCCTGCTTGGGAGACTGGCCGGTACGAAGGCGTCGAGCAAGAAACTCCAAGTCTGTGAGTCGACCACCAAGGGTTTCAATGCATTGATCAAGCTCCATCATGTTGGTACGCGGAATGGGTGCTTTCGCTGGTGGTGCGTCGTCGCCCAATTCCTTTCGTGCCTTCTCATCATCTGCCAGCTGATCCTTTAGGCGACTGAGAACAAAGTTCTTGGCCACTTCCGGTGCGAGATCGCCGAGGGAAACGGTACGGAAAAGTCGATCGGGAAGTGCCTTGTCAAGGGGTTTCGAGTAGGCCGTATCTGTGGTAAGGAAGATAACATGAGCAACGTTGTTCTGCACGGCAGTAGCTGCCCACTCGGCAATCTTGTCGTAAATGATGCTGTTTTCCTCGCCTTTATGGAGAAAGTTGTCGACAACAACAACAGGTCTGCGCTCTGGGTGTGCTTCCAGCCATGCATCCTCGGATAGCTTGTAGTCACTGTCTCTCTTATTGCGCGATGAGACAGCAACATCCTTGAGGGCGCCGGTGGTGGTCTGCATGATCTTATTCAGTTGAGATTCGAGAGTTTCGGAGAAGCCCGCCTTGACGCCAGTGGTGCTCTGCACAGCAAGATCAACCATGCTACTGATGCTGTTTGCCCAGGAAAAGACAGGACGGTAGCCAACGGCCATTGCTAGACGCTTGATGGTACCCGCCTCTCCTCTAGCCTCGACAATGCGCCTGCAGTCAATCTTGAGCACATTCTTACGACCTTCCAAAGCCTGGTCCATGACCATCTCGACCTTTCCCGAGCCCTTGGGTCCTGTGATGACGATAAAGGTGTCGGAGGTTTCATCAAGCCAGCCTTGCACTTGAACAATTGCGTCTCGCCTGTGGTTCCAGACTTCCTCAAGGCCGTCATCACTCTTGGATTTGTTTGATAGTCCAAAATTACCCGACTGCTTCTTGAACCACTTATAAATGCGTGAGTCCTTGAACTCTAACGAGTGTTGGATATGAAGCTTGATGAAGAATTCTCGGATAGGGTCAAAGATTAATACTGAAAGACCAGCGATCAGTGCTGCAACAACAGGGACGACAATTCGAGGATGGTTGGTCAACCAGTTCCAGATACTATGGGCCTTAACACGCTTCTCGAAAGAAAGACGAAGTTTGGTCCCTTTGCTGCCACCTCCCAAAACCTCGTTCACGATGAAGCCGTGCATACAATTGCGGGCTGTAATGGCATCCCTTGTTACAGGGAATTGGATGTGGGCGTATCGCGGTGTGATCTTTGAGTCGGTGGGCTGCGGGATGATGTCGGCAATCTTGCCGTATTTGCGGAATAAAGAGTACAATGTCTCCTCGGGAAGCTCTTCGGGAGTTATGCCGGGAGTCGGGGGCACAAATTCGATCTTGACAAAACTGGTAGGGTATCTGTACAGATCTTCCAGCCAAGGTGTGCCTTGGACAAGGCGAGCGTTTACGGGGCGGAAGATGGAGAACCATGGCTTTATCGGCTTTTCCCTCAATCGCTTGCCCAACAGAGCTTCGATCTCGGCAGGATCTATGTTGGCGTTGTATTTGAACTTGACATAGGCGCCCCCGTCCTTCAAGCGTGGCAGGATCTCGGTGACTCGAATCGGTAGGTCTTCCGGAATTGCAGTCTTGACAAGGCGGATAGGGTCTAGCACTCCCAAAGAAGACGTTTCGAACCGCTTGAGAAGGTCTGAGACATCATGGTCTGACTTCCAGGGCCTCACGAGTACGCTGCTTAGCTTGAGAGGGAATATATTATCGAAGAAAAGGATGGCTTCGTTAGACTCCGTCGTGATATGGCCGCTCTTATCGGCACCTTCTTCTGAGGAAGCAATCGGAGGGACCGAGGCAAGGTCTCCGAGGTTGGCTGTAGTAATCCAAGCGCGGTTTAGAGGTTGATGTCGTAATGCGTTTTGGTTGATCCGCTGTCGAAGAAGTGACGTTGCTGATCCGGTTGACGTTGATCTTCTGGCTGCGAAGAGCGCTGCCCTGGCAAGGCCTCGACTTAGGATCATGGTGCCTTGGGCTCGCTGAGGCACGTTAGAAAACTCGACCTCTACTCTAAGCTTTAGGATAAATAACCTACGAGCTGGTCTAGAGCGGCATAAAATGACTAAATGATTTCGTCTCTTATGCTCCCAGTAGTCGATTTTTCTATTGCCCCAAGGGCTCGATTAGTCCCATTGCTGTAAGGAGCTTGACCTGGGAGAGAGGAGAGGGGTTATGGAAGGTCTATGTTTATGTCGTGGTGTGATAAATAAACTAGAGCTGTCTGTCGTAGCTAGCTTCCCACAATGAGGTCATTGTTTGGTATCTCTAGGGTGCAAAAAAGAGTCCGGTCTAAAATAGCATAACCTGATTCACTAATTTCGTCTACTCTGGTCAACTAGCAACTAAATTTCCTGATTCTCTGAGGGGAAGGTGCATTTGAAACAACTTGCTTAAAGCGATAGAACCAGCTCTTAATAGCAAACACTTACATCAGGGTATCAGAAAAGTCGGTCGTAAAAACCATAAGAGACGAAATTAGTAGGCCAGCTTAGGTTACTTAGACCATACTTCTTCGGCTATTCATTTGTGTAGCCTAAAGATTGAAGGTCAACTTTTCTGCTACCCACTACCTACCTTACCTACTCAAAGCAAGGACTCCTTGTGAAGATCAACCCCACTAACCGCGGAGTAAAACGTGGGATGTTCTTATGGGATGGGATATCTATGGGACTGAACAGTCAAACAGATTAAACAGTGTGCAATATATGTATTTGAGCATCAGTTTTTCCAACCATGTCTCAATTCATAGATAAGTAGCAACAGGTTCGTTTTGAAACACGAAGACTTCTAACTGCATTAGGTTGATGTGCCATATTTTCTTTCAAGGCCAGCGGCCATACTAACAGCACTCACTGACTAGCAGTAATGAGTTCACAACGGTAAATTTCGGATTTTGACTCTACTATAGTTAAACATCATTTAGTATTCAGCGTAATATCTAATCCCTTACTTCAGAAATGCTATTCGGTTCGATAGAAAGAAATAATCAACGTTGACGTTGGCCACATTGTATCGGAAAGACGGCAGATATTTCCCCCGTCACCTTCTAGCGGCATCTTTGTCTCCAAATCTCGACAATTAACCAAACAGCTTTGCGCGCAGCACGAGACCCAAGTCAGATTATATCACTTGCATCTACCGTTGAACATACTCAACTCCATATTCAGCAAGACCAATTTTCAATTACTTCCATACGCCATTTCAATTGCGACAAACGATTTCGCCTTTCAGCAGTTCATTCTTGCTATTTGATCCACCTCAAGACATTCCGACTACTTCTTTTACCACTTACACAACATCGCAATGGGCTGGCTATGGTCTTCGACACCCTCCAAGGAGGATAAAATATCGACACCAGTTGAGAACAACCCACTTCCTACTACATCGACAACATCAGCACCCTCGTCGTCTACAACCCCCTCCCCCTCCTCCAAGTCAGATACTGATCCCGAACTCCAAAAATTCCTTGATCTCTTCGAATCCGAAAAGAACAAGCCTACACCCACACAAGACGAACAAAGCCAATCACCCTCCACATTATCATGGCTCTCCATGAAAAAGTCACCCCGATCTACCGCTCCCACACCCTCCGACATTCCTCCCCGCGATTCCCTCGCCGAAGCCCTCCTACCAACGGACATGTCCTGCCGACAGGCCTTTGACCAAGCGTGGAGCTGCAACGGAATGGGCGGCCAGTTTACAGCCGTGTACCGCTACGGAGAGATGCGCTCGTGCAGTGAGCACTGGGACGACTTCTGGTTCTGCATGCGAGTAAAGGGTTACTCCGGTGAACAGCGCGAGAGGGCTATTCGGGAGCACTACCGCGCGAAGGAGTTTACAAAGTATGGACCAGGGAAGCCGAGCAGTGAGGACGTTTGGGAGAGTAGAGGGGAAAAGGTACCGGAAGGGTCATTTTTTAATCAGCCCATCGATGAATGAATGAATGGATCAACGATAGTTGTATTAATAGAAACAAACTCTTCAAGCCATTTTGGAAGACATGTACTCTGTTGCACATGACCAGTCAATGTTATCTTGCATATACTTACTTACTCCTCGGGACTCCTTCCAGGTCGTACGGTCTCTATTCCATCAGGCGTCTTTAGATTACAATGAAGAAGGCAAGGCTCGCCTAAATTGTCTACTTTTCATAGGTAAGTTAGGATTTCTTCTCCTAAAGCTCCATAACTTTTCGTATGAGAGGAAAGCATTTGAACTTCGAAGTCGGCCATTGGGCAAGCAAGCTATCAGTCTTATGATATTTCAATCATGTCACAGTAAAGGGAAGATAAAAGATTTATGAATATGATTCATTGATTCATTAAAGTACATGAGAGGTAAACCACCTTAGCTTTTCATAACCGTAAAAGTCGCATAAAAACAGAAAAAGGAAAATCTAATCTCATCATCCCATTAAAACGACTAGCCTCCGCATTGTACCCATGGATACATGACTGCTCTAGAAGTCGAGACTGATGTTATTGGGGTATCAAAGAATTTAGTCGACCTCCTCGACGGTGGGACCATCGTCACCACCAGCGCCGGGAGCGGGGCCACCAGCACCAGGGAAGCCACCAGGACCACCGGGCATGCCACCAGGAGCACCCTCACCACCAGCTCCGTAGAACTTCATCATGATGGGGTTGGCCTTGCCCTCGAGCTCCTTCTGGTGCTCCTCGTACTCCTCACGAGTAGCCTGCTGGTTGTCATCGAGCCACTGGACGACCTTATCAATCTCAGCAGTGAGGGTCTCCTTGTCGGAAGCCTCAATCTTCTCCTCGACCTTGGGGTCAGAGAGAGTGTTGCGGAGAGAGTAGGCGTAAGACTCAAGACCGTTCTTGGCAGCGACACGCTTGCCCTCGGCCTCATCCTCCTCCTTGTACTTCTCGGCATCGCTGAGCATGCGCTCAATCTCCTCCTTAGACAGGCGGCCCTTGTCGTTGGTGATGACAATCTTGTTGGACTTGCCGGTGCCCTTCTCAACGGCGGAGACGTTCATGATACCGTTGGCATCAAGATCGAAGGTGACCTCAATCTGGGGAACACCACGGGGAGCAGGGGGGATACCAGTGAGCTCGAACTTGCCCATGAGGTTGTTGTCCTTAGTGCGCTGACGCTCACCCTCGTAGACCTGGATAAGGACACCAGGCTGGTTGTCGGAGAAGGTAGAGAAGACCTCGGACTTCTTGGTGGGAATGGTGGTGTTGCGGGGGATGAGCTTGGTCATCATACCACCAGCGGTCTCAATACCGAGAGAGAGAGGGGCAACGTCGAGAAGAAGAATCTCGTTGGTGGCCTTGCTAGAGGTGTCACCAGAGAGAATAGCAGCCTGGACAGCGGCACCGTAGGCAACAGCCTCATCGGGGTTGATGGACTTGTTGGGCTCCTTTCCGTTGAAGTAGTCGGTGATGAGCTTCTGGACACGGGGGATACGGGTAGATCCACCGACGAGGACGATCTCGTGGACAAGGGACTTGTCGATCTTGGCGTCAGTAAGGACACGGTCGACGGGCTGAATAGTGGATCGGAAGAGATCCTGGCAGAGCTCCTCGAAACGAGCACGGGTGATGGAGGTGTAGAAGTCGATACCCTCGAAAAGAGAGTCGATCTCGATGGAGGTCTGAGCGGAAGAAGAGAGAGTTCGCTTGGCACGCTCACAAGCGGTTCGAAGACGTCGGAGAGCACGAACGTTGGTGCCGAGATCTTTCTGGTACGAGTTAGCATTACATATTCCCTGTTTTGGCCCGGTGGCCCTTTGATCGCTTGTGAGACTTGAAAGCAGAGAGGTATCTAAAAGAAATATCACAAGGTTCGCAATGGTAATCATCATCTCCCATCTCTGTCTTCTTCTTGTGCCGCTTTGTCTTGTTATGGCGGTCCAGAGAGGCAGCATCGCGACAAGACACATTGCAGACAGAACAGTGGTAGGTCTGGTTGGTAACAGCTTCTTGCTGGCGGATCTTGGTTGCTGGAGCTTGCTTGATATTGTTGGCTCTGGTCCGGGCAATGTGTTCAGGAGTTGGATTAGCACGTAGAGCTTTCCCGTAGTTCGCCTGGTAAGCACGGTCTTTGGCTTTGACCATGGCAGCCATTGCTTCAAGCTGTTCAGCAGTAAGACCCAGATCTCCCTTGCGAACTTGAGCGCCTTCAGACATAGGAGTATGGGAACACAGGCCATCCCATGGGTAAGAGTCAGGGGACCAAGGTGCCAAGTGTTCAATCCCATATGGTGCATCTCGAGGACGTAAGCACCAGAATATGGCATGAAATGCAGCTTCAAGTAGATGCAATAGAACGCGAAATCGAGGTTGGTCGGCTGGAGCTGGGATGGGACATGAAACAAGTAGAGCCATGTGAGTAATAGCGAAACCATCTCCCTTGGCTTTGTCGACATAGTATGGACAAGCATTACCAGCTTGATGACCACTGAGACGCTGGGACACCCCGTACTTAGAACCTGTACCCGAACCGATGTAGATAGCAGGAGCACAGCCAGGCTTCTTAAGCACCAGCACATAAACACCCCAGTGCTTAGCAGGAATAGAGGCAGGAAGACTCTTGAACCAGACATAATCAGGCGGTGCAGCCCTACAGAGTGTGTCGAAGAGGCCAGGGCAGAAGGAGAGCTCAGCAAGCTCAATCCAGAACGAGAGGGTATTGAAAGAGGTAACTGCGAGAGTGTACGTAGGATGGATGTAAGTTCTGATGTGGAGGAGAGACCAGCAGAGAAAGAGAATGAGTCTGGTAAGGTCTGTCTTGGAGGCGTCCAGTTCAGACATGGTTGATGGTTGAGCTGATGGTTGATGGGAAATCAAGTTCTGAGTGCCAGACCCATGCCAAAAGTGGTTTTATCCCATACTGTTTCAATGGGAAGGAAGACACTGAGCATTGCCGGCAATTCCTGGCAGGACCAAGCTGAAGGATGGTGAGGATGGCAGGAATGACTGGCAGTACTGGTGGGGATGGCAGGTGCGGTGTTCCAGGATGGCAAGTGCTGAGGTGAAAAAAGTTCGTCTGGCAGGAGCGATGATTGAGCCAGGAATACCTGTCCCATGGCTCAAACCATGGCAGGTAATAGCCATGCGAACAAGTAGAATTGCCACTGCTCTGTTAACCATGGGATGGGGCAGGAGCCATGATGTCGGCAAAAAATAAGCAGCAATTGATTGCCATGCCATACCATGACCATGCCATGACCGTGTCTTGAGGGTGTCGTGAAAAGATGCTGTAGTGCTGATGTCGCCATGATCTAGCAGTAGGAAGACAAGCGCCAGTGGAATCAGGACATTGGTAGGTAGGTGCTCATGTTTCAGAGAAACACCTGAGTTGTGATGATGATGATGATGATGAACCTTGATGAATGAAAAACAAAACGCAAAAGAAATCAAAAACTTAAAGAAAACTATCTATCTCGTACCTTGTGCTTTCGCTTGAACTCGTTAACGAAGTGGTTGACCAGACGGTTGTCGAAATCTTCACCACCCAAGTGAGTGTCACCAGCGGTGGACTTGACCTCGAAGATACCCTCCTCAATGGTGAGGAGAGAGACATCGAATGTACCACCACCAAGATCGAAGATGAGGACGTTGCGCTCGCCCTCAACCTTCTTGTCGAGACCGTAGGCAATGGCAGCAGCGGTAGGCTCGTTGATGATTCGGAGAACGTTGAGACCGGCGATGAGACCAGCGTCCTTGGTAGCCTGGCGCTGAGAGTCGTTGAAGTAGGCAGGGACGGTGACAACGGCGTTGTTGACAGTCTCGCCAAGGTAAGACTCAGCGGTCTCACGCATCTTGGTGAGGATCATGGCGGAGATCTCCTCAGGGGTGAAGGTCTTCTTCTCACCCTTGAACTCAACCTCGATGACGGGCTTGCCGGCCTTGTCGATGATTGTGAAAGGGAAGTGCTTCATGTCGGCCTGGACCTCAGCATCGGCGAACTTGCGACCGATCAATCGCTTGGCGTCGAAGACGGTGTTCTGGGGGTTCATGGCGACCTGGTTCTTGGCGGCATCACCAATCAGACGCTCGGTGTCGGTGAAACCGACGAATGAGGGGGTAGTTCGGTTACCCTGGTCGTTGGCGATGATATCACATCTGGGGTAAAAGTTAGCGTCGATGTTCAAGCGAAAGACGTTTAAATCTTAGGATGAAGAATTAAAAAAAACTTACCGATCCTCACGGAAGATACCCACGCAAGAGTACGTGGTACCCAAATCGATACCGACAGCGGGACCCATTTTGTGTGATGTGTATGGTTTATGTAGAGTGTATGAGAGAGATTAGGGAAGAGAAAAGAAAAAGAAAACGCGGTTTGCTTCAAGGAAGATCGTGGTATTTGAAGACTTGAGGGGTATTTGGTTTATGATGATGATAATGGAAAGGAAGGAGAAGCAGGAGCAGTTGCGCAAAGCATCTAAATAAAGGCGGGTGCCAAGGTTCGATGCGGTTCTGCGCTGTTCCAAAGAAGCCCACTTTGGAGAGCTTCTCGATATTTGCAGGGGCGTCTACCGCTTTCTAGGCGCTGCTAGGCATTACTGGGGGTGTGCTTAGAGGGGCAAAGCCACAGATGGTGGGTCAGAAGAAGCGTCTAGCAGCTGTTTGCACCTGGCAGATCTGGGTTTGCCCCACTAAAAAAACTGCAATATGCAACCCGTAGCCTGGTCTCCTGGACGATGGGCGAAGAGATGGATCTCTGATCGTTTCTGGCTGCTTCTTGGAGGCGAGTAAGTGATTATTTTGCAAAGCCAGCAAATTCTGTACATGTACACTACCTACGAGAATTCTCATGTTTATTTCCGCAGCTTCCGTCTATTCTCTCTTGTTCTCTGCATTTGCGTACCTTTCCATTGCTTTCGCTTCCATCTCACTGATGTCATGTCCTCATAAACTTTTTGCTTCCCAAAACTTCCATCGCGGGGCATCCGAGCCAGGGTCAGCAAGCTCAAAGTTTAGAGTACTTGTACTTTGGCGTTGGATCCCACCGACGATGATGTAACCAGGTACTTTGCCCCACCAACCGACCTCATGTTGGACAAACAGCTCGTTTCTTCGTGCCCCTCCTTTTACTGGTGCTACACTTTTTCTCTGTCGCTCTTCTCTCCCTGGGGTTTAGCACTGCGAAAACTCTAGGTTGCCTCTCCATCGCGGAACGTCATTAGATGATTTGGGGATGTGTTTTTTGTGGCAATTGATTGAAATTTTCTGATAGTCTAACTAGCTGTGAATAGTGCTACTGCCTTGATGAGAGTCGATATCGAATGCATGCTAGATTTTGGATATGGATGCCTTGCCTTGTTTGCCTTGTCTTGGTGTCCAACAATGCGCTGGCTACCGCTACTTTGGACGTATCAAATGATTGGATTAGATACATTAGGTGCATTCCGATGCAAGCGGGTTGGCATTTCTGCTTGGTGTTGGGTTGGACTTGATGGTTGGTTACACATGTCCACGTAGCTAATGACTTTACTGTCTGCGATGTAGACCTGCATGAGTCTTGGATCACTCTTGAAGGTATCATTGTACTCTGTGCAATCGGAGAAGAGAATACAGTTGCCAATTGATTCGCCAGCCTCTCTCTCAAATGATTACTGGGTACTAGGCCAACCTAATGTTATCAAGTTGTCCTATCTCAATCTTTGGGCTGAAATCAGTGAGACTGTTATGGTTAACCCAACTTCAATTGACTTCAGCTTTAATTCTGACAAAGCCTAGATGTCAATTGAATGGATATCACATCACCCGTCTTAATTAACCCCATTGTTTTTACTCCGAAGTGGATCAACATCTCCAGGCTCTTGTTCTGTTGTTGTCTTTTCGTCTCCTCGCTACGAGAAATGGTATCACTTCTGTTCCTAGTGCTTCCACGACTCTCTGTGCATCCACTTGGGCTCTCGCAGGGCCCAGGGCTGAGGCGTGGCGTAGTAATCGAAAGGCCCCATGTACAGTACTCAATTTGTTTACCTGGGGTGTCTGTCTGTCAGGCAACCGATGGAACCCCTGAGGTCATTTGTTGATGTTGGGTTGTTTCTGCAGTGTCATTTGAAGTTTTGTCGTTGGGTGTTTTTTTGGGTTTAACTGCGGCAGCCTTTCTAAGGCGCCAACTAAAACGACGATTCGTGTACCTTACAGGCTACAGAGTCTGATAACAACTCATCTACAACTGTATGTAACACTTTCATGATTTTACAAGTATTCGCCCCATCTCAACGTCTTCATCATTCTTCCTCCTTCTCTTTCTCAACGGGGCAATAAGTCTTGCCTCTCGGCTTCTATCTAATCCTTGCCAGAGGCGACTCAACTCCAAACTTTTGGAGAGCATGTGGGGCCCCATGTCGTGACCAGCTCCATAGAAACGGCTTCCATGTACGTCCGGTTGTTTAATTGGACGGTTGGGTTTTGGCTTCTCGCTTGTTACTACCCTGGAGCTTCGATTTGAAGCGACGATTGTCCATCGTGATAAAAGACTTCCATGTCTGTCGATTCTACTGCATGTTGTGCCTTGCACTAGCATGCGTTAGATCACGGTGGGATGGCGTACACACCATGATTTCCCGTACCTCAACGCCGGACCTGTCGGATGTCATGGCTCACTTCCGAGTGTTAACTAAACTGAAGCTATCGTCGCCAAACTTGCTCTTGAACAAGGGAAACCTAAAGTATCGCAAGTAGGAGACAGTGAAAATACTCCTCAAGGTTTAATTTTCAGGACTTTATTAACATGATTTTTGACTTTCTCAAGCTTGTGGGAAATATAGACATGTTGAGATAAAATGAATGGACGTTTCAACATAGTAAACTAAAGACTATCTGCATGTCTGACCGTTGCGAACAATGATCCGGTCGAATCTGTCCGGGAACACGATAAAAATGAACTATATAAACCTGACAGGATTCTAGAACATTTCCCATTAAAACAAGCTCGTTGAAACCCCCACACATCCGTCTGCCCACAACTTGCGGTGCCTCTTGTGGCTGGTGTGCAACCGAAGTGAGTCGCCCGGGATATATCAACTATCCACTGCTAGACTCTCCCTTCATGCCCGAATCAATGTCCGGCCACAAATCCCGGCAGATCATCCTCTCCAATCATTACCATTGACTTGTCCGCCATTCTCGAACTCGTCTCGGTTGCAGATCCACCAAGAAACCCGTTCCAGATCTTCTGCATCACATTATCCGTGCTCCTCAACTTACTCCCCTTCAAAGCCTCTTCGTCCCCTTCACCCACCGTCAGAAACACCTTCTTCGCAGCAGGAAACCCGTCGACGACATGCCACAGGCACCCAAACACCTGGTCACTTTCTTGTTCCGCGTAGCCTAGTTCTGACAGCACGCATGCTAGATGCTTAACCCTGTGCGTGTCCTCACGGCGTAGGAAGTATACCATGGCCGAGTTGAACCCGTATATGTCGTATGCTTCTAGCTCGCCGGCGAGATAGACGCAATCGATATTGAAATTGAACCATACGCGCGGCGGCGCGGACACTGGTGTATCGGAGAGGAGCTTTGAAATGCGCCAGCCGAAAGCAAGTTCATAGTGATCCAGAGCTAAATAGCGTGTCTCGCGATTAATTTGTAACAGCACAGGCACTGATCTGCCCCGTGACCGCTGATTCAACTCATTACGTCTTTCGTCTAGGCGTTCATCACGCTGGAGACAGCACACGACGACAATGCGGGGTTGGATAAGGAGCGTCCAAATTCGGAGGCGTAATTCGGGCGGGAACTGTGCGAACTGAGGAAACGCGGTGAGTGTTGATGGTGACTTGGATTGTGAAGAGAGGCCATCGTCAAATGTGCGAAACTCGAGCCAAAATCTTGGATTGGGACTTTGCTCATCTTCAACTTCGATATCGCTCATGGTGATGGTGGGCTGGGAACAGATGTGGCGATCAATTGACTACAGGACAGGTATTATGGCACAATACAGCAACCATGTATGGCAGAGGACGTATATAAACTTAGAAAGAGAACTGATAGTCGGCAGGGTTGAACAGAAGGGAAACAAAAGCGCATTCATGTTTTACCACAATATTTCTTTAAGTAGAGCCAAAGACAAGGTCAGGCGATTGACTTCCAGACTTATACTACCCTAGCTAATCACTCTAAATACGTGTACCTCGTACGTGATTCGTCGATACAACGGTTCATCCTATCATCAGAAAAAGTATGCTGCCCAACGTCACGTACAACTAATCAATGTTTGGAATTGGCTCACTGTTGTAACAATGATCGTTCGTTGCTCTTCTATTTCATTTCTATCGTTCAAACGATTATAGGGCAGATCTTTAGGCGGTGGCAATAGGACTGATGACAAGATATAGTACTATTATATGTGGTGAAATCTATTTGCCCGGGGTATATGCAGATTCTAAATGCTAAAAAAGATAAATACTTCCGTATTCCTCGTCCACATTGTTCGTCCTGTTGTACATCTATCGAGAGGCTAGACCTGCTGCGAACCTTGCAACTGCCTTGAGGCGTTGGCATTCTCATCAGAGGCTGCACTTTCTGACTATGCCCCGCTATGCGAGCTGTTCAGCCTGTATGCGTTCTTCTCAATCCTGAGATGTTCCTGGCCACGTAGTAGTTTGAGGAGATAAGACCCCTTTACAATAATGTCCGTAGGGCCATCCTCCCCAGGAGGGCCCTGGCCAAGTTTGACGTTACCGATACACCATGAAAGAGGGAATGCCTGGTGGGAAGTTAGTTTTCGTTCAATGGAGCGACAGTTACGAATAACCTACCAGAGCAACGATGGGAGTGACGGCAACAAAGGCCCATACAACACCCATCTTGGCATGCTCAACAGCTTGCTCATTTGTCTCACCTCCTTTGGACTGAACATGGCTGAACTCTCCACCACTAGAGCCAAGACCAGAAGTGTTGTTGAAGACAGTAGACATAATGGTCAAGCCAATGGTTCCGCCAAAAGGAATGGCGACTGCCATGAGCCCGATGACCGAAGCCCGCAAGTGGCGAAAGAGACCAATGCCGTGGAGTGGTGAAGCCATGAAACGCATGCCACTTCCACAGCCAACAAGAGCCATCATGCCGTAGATGACGCTCAATCGATCGGCCCAGATCGCCCAGGCGAGAACACCCAAACCCACTGATTCAGTAAGTGTTCCTATAAACACAGAAGGAAACGTCATGCGAGGCCAGCGGTTACACATGAAGGAACAAATGTATACACCAACTGCGAAAATGTCAGTAAGCCCTTCAGTGTGGACAGAAA